CCAATATCGCCCGGAGCATCCATCCCTTGAGCCGCTTGCTCGGTCTTCTGCATATACAGTCATTTTCGGTGACGCGGAGGCGTCAGGGAGGCTAGGCATAGCGCAGTGGGTTTATAGTCTTGTTCGCTGCGCTTCGATTCTGTTCGCTATCACGAGGCAATCTTCGTTTCCAAATGTTCTTCTTTAGGGAGAAGCTCATCGTTTCGGTTACATCGGTTCCGACGTCTGCAACGCTGTTGGACAGATTGGATGGTTCCGGTGAGGTGTTCGGGCGACCAATAGGATCGTTAACCTCGCCAATACAACCAAACAAGATCTCTTCACAACAGAGGTTCATAGTTCTCCGTTTTCCTCGAAGAACAGTGGTCGCGCTGGTTTGAGTTTGTTGGTGATACCACCCAACTCCTCGTTGAAACAGGCTCTCAGAAGTGCCACGCAGTGCGACCACTGTGCTCAATCTTTTTGTTCAGGCAAAGCACCGCTTATGGGAAGCTGGCTGGCCATAATTCACGTACTCTGCAGGGCTTTTTGAATTTGCAGATTTGTCGTGCAATCGAAGACAACAGCACCCTCTTCCGTTGGATGGCTGACAGCAATGTCCCTGTTCTAGTCCGTGGTACTGAATTTGTCGCTTTCGACAACGAGAGGAGTGCCAAGGTCAAGGTACCGTAGAATCCGTTACCAATTCTGATAATAACTGCGGACCGAATCAGTTTATGCTGAATCTTCCTCCCTATCAAGAACATTTAATGAATGCAGAGTCTTCGAATATGTCGTGTCAGCGGAACTGCACCATAGTAGATTGATGACACCTTTTAGGCTGCTGCGCTGGAGTTTGCGTCGATTTCATTTCGATCGTTCCTGCTAACCCATGTGTAGGCCAGTCTGTACATTATCATCCCCTTTTGCCCTTAGCTTCCTAGAAAAATCAGGCCAAAAATAGTACAGTTATGTCAGTTTTGCCAATGCCTCTTGTGACTTTTTTTATAGATATTTTTGGTATGATCAAATGATCTCTTCTGTTCCATGGTTCTGATAATTTCTTTGATTGCTCTGTACCTTTGCAGACCACGTGGAGCTCGCTACATAACCTTGGTGGCATGGCAATCCATGGTCTGCCATTCGACAACCCTGAGGGAGAATGCCCCGAGCGACCTTTTCCTATACTTCAGAGCATCGTAGACACGCAGGTGAATCAACTATTTTTTTGTATGGACCTGTAATATTGAATTCGATTGTTAAAAGGGGACTCACTAATGAAGATATTGTGAGAAGTAGTGCCCTATATCTCTCTGGATGTTGGAAACGCGAGTGAACGGATGTGCTCTACGTCTGCTTCTAGCTCAATGCCAGTCGAGCTGTCCTATTCAGT